CAGTAGGAATAATATCCACAGGGATTAAAAAAATCCAGTATTTGTAAAGGAACTTGTCACAGCAGTACCAGAAATAGTTTTTTTGCCTCTCTTTCACAGGGTGAAACACTGGTTGAGAAAAAATGTTAGCTCTGTAGCATCACCAAATACTTCTCAGATCATGTGCATATTCACTGCTTCCCATGTCACCATTAAGGTATCACATTCACACAAATTCAGTTTCTAATTACTCAATTTTTTTTTTTCTTCAGAAGAAAATGTGCATATCAGCCGTCTCCAGTGTAGGCTTTCCTCTTTCTAGAGTAGTTTCTGAAAGCAAAATAAATGAAAATGCTGCCTTTGCCTTCGCCCCAGCAGGAAAGGAACATGTCTCCAATAAATAAAAGTGCACATGGATGTTGTGTGTGAAAGCAAAATAAGGAGTGTTAGTTATGAGCTGTAATGTTGCTGGTTCCCTGGATGCAGATAAATAAAAAGGAGAACCACTAAACTTAGAAATGGTCATCTGACTTCTGTTCCTCAAAGCTGACTCTGCCTAGTGAGGCCATGTTAGATGGATTTACAACACATACGTACAGCATCATTTTATAGAAATTTCTACCAATCTTCATTTTTCTCCTTTCTCCCTTATCCTCAGCCTCACTAAGAGCAGGAGTCTGCTGCAGCAATTAAACTCTAGTTAAAAATGGGAGGACCTGATAGCAAAGCTGCTCTGAGAATAACTTCATAACGATTACTGCATCAAAGAACAATATATCATAACATTATAACCTTCTAGTAACATAATTTTTCACATTTTTTACACTAATCTTTGCTGCTGCTAGACATGCCTCAAGGGATTAAAATTTGGTGATGAATTTGTGGGTCTCATTTGCTGTACGGTTTGCTGCCATTAATGTTTTGAAATAGTTAAGCACTTCCTAATTTTAAACAGAAACTTTAGAAAATACTTTCTTTGGAAGAAGAAAATACATGTTATGAATTTTAACATACTGCGAATGCCTGTAAATAAATCAATGCTTTTAAGATTATTTTCATTTTCTTAAGTGAAAGGAAATGTGTCAGTTTTCAAATAAGAAGGGGAGCATTACTATTGCAAATGATAATGGAGAAAAAGGCAGGAAAACTCTGTGCTTACCCAATGCAAATGAACCCCTTCTGCCTACAACTCAGAGATTCACAAAACTGGGCAAGAATGGAGCGTCCTTCTTTGAAACCTAAACATTCATGCCTTCAGGGAACAGTCAAGGGAAAATGCTGGAAAAAACAATCTCAGGAGCTTCTTAATCCACATATTCTCTTTCCCAAATGAAAATCTGGAGAGGGATGATGAGGGTAAATCCCTAAAAAGGCCAATGAGGCACTGTCACAACTGCCCCTGGACATGCCCAAGGCCAGGTTGGATGGGGTCCCAGGCAGCCTGAGCTGGTGGGAGCAGCCTTCCTGTAGTAGGAGTTTGGGGCTGGCTGGGCTTTTAGGGTCCCTTCCAACCTGGGCCATTTTATGATTCTATGATTCTGTGATTCTATTTAATAAGCACACTGCTTATTAAAAAGGTTCTAAATTTCTAAGACTATTCTTTATTTATGCATTTCTTGACTGCCTTTCTTGTCATATTTATACACTGTATCAACAGGAATGAAAAAACTTGTCTGACTGCAACTATCCTAACTTCCGAGTACATTTTTCTATGAGCTCTGATACCTGCCCTTTTAACTTTTCACATGGTTCCTATTTTCCTCACATGCTTGGAGGATAAGTGATTGCTAAGATCTCCATTACACAGGTGGGTAACAGAAACATAAAGACATCTGTTCTAGCCAAAGTATAGTGTAGGTGAAGTTGGTAACAGAACAGGAAATTGCTGAAATTTCAGCCCATTTCTTGTGACACACAGAACATTCCTACCAGACAATAGGATGATTAACTTCTGTGTATCAATCTCACATGAGAAAAATGATACTGAGGTTCATCTTACAATAATGAGTTTTATATAACTGCAAAAATAATGCGCTTTTTTTTTTTTTTTTTAGGGAAATTAGGTACCACGTGTCTCCAGCAATTTAGGTTGTCTGGTGGTGCACAATCTGCTGTAGTTAACTGCCATCACCTTACAGAATTGGTTCTAGTGAGCTGATGTCTTCCCATAATGAAAATATCTACAGCATCTTTGTATTGCAAATGCATGCCAATTCTTTTAATCCAAAAGCTCAAAGTTAAGAGCTTAGAATACAGGATATTTTGTGGGTTGAAGATGGCATAATTTAGCTGAGCTTGCAGTTTAATTCATACAGAGATCAGCAGTCAAGGCAGTAGTTTGGGAGAGTTGGCTGCATAATCAAAACCAAAACACAGCACTAAAAATGATGAAAGATGGGTGTATCCTGAACCAGTATTCCGGGAAACTGATTTACTTTCTGATCTCTGCCATGCATTTCCTGCAGAATACTGTGAGGATCACTTAACATCTTGGTGCTTTATTTCCCTATGTGTAAAGCAAGGAAATGAAGACTATAAAGAACTTAGGTCAAGGGGACTTCTACTTAGGAATTCAGGGCTCCTGGCATAACTTGTTTGCAAAACCTCTTCCATGATGAGTATTCTGGACTGCGCTCACACCGCTTATCATGTCACAGGGCTTCCCTTTGAGAAAGTGTAATTGATCCATGTTTGTACGCTTTTGGAGAATGACAGGTTGGAGGGCTGTGCTAGTTAAAGTCTGCAGGTTGCGGCATGGAGGAAGTCTTTCTGACGGCAAGAAATTATTTTTTTTCTACACAGTTTCTCTGTAAAAAGACTTTGCACTATAACAAGCCATTATTTTAAATAATACGGAAGATAGATAATATCATAAGCCTTTCCAAATCTAAGCGCACAAAAACTATTACACTCACCCAATATCTTTCACTAGGGTTGTTATGAATAAAACCTCTTCATTTATTTCTATCTTCACAAAAGCTTTTAAAAGTGTAGACTTCTGCAGGAAACAACTATTATTAATGAAGCAGCTGGGTTTCTTTTTAAAGAGGTTACTTTGAAACCATTTGCTCTGCTAATTATTAACAGAAACACTGATGATATATCTACAGTGCTTTGGGACACTGAATATTATCTAAAATCCTTTTAAAAACCATTTCAGGAGAATAAGCCACATCAGAAGTGTGAATTAAAACTGTAAAATAATACACATGGAAACCAGCAGCAGAAATGATTAGCTCACATTTCCCCCCAGCAATTTTGCCCGCAATTTCTTATGCAATGTGAGAAGTATTGCTTCACAACAACATCGTAATTTTGCTAATGTCAGTTGATAGTAACGTATCTCAATAAGTAGTAATTGTTCTGATGAATAAATGAATGTGAATAATAACATACGTAGATATAATAGAGCAGCTCAGAGAAAGATAATTTTATGGAATCAATTATTTCATTATTTGTTTTTATTCTCCTGTGTGAAATTTTGCACACGCACACACAATGACTGCACAAAGAGCACAATTGGGCTCAGGCAAATCTTCCTGGGTCACCACGATAAAATTACAGAACATGGAAGCCCCAGGTCCTCAAATGAGCAGCAGTCTGTCTGCTTTCTGCAGACAGATAGTGAGATGATCCAGAAAGGCACCTGGGTTGATTTTTTAAACCAAACTGGTTTCTAGAAGATGTTGCCAACACCACACTACCTCCACAAAGTAACTTCATTTTGACAGATTATCAAACTCTCACCAGAAATAGCATTGTTGGTCTTTGCAACAAACTAGACGTCTGTCAGATGTCTTGACAGACAAAACCAAAATGTTATTCAGGATAGTCAGTGAAGAGCAAGGGATGCTAGGAGTGAAAAATACAACAGAATAATCAGAAGCAAAAGGAATGGAAAACAATGTCTAGCAATATCTGAAATAATGGATCTGATGTATCCTCTGTTCCAGATGCTGTTCTTTTCTGGTGGTTAGCTCTTTTCCCAAACTGCTGTCAAATAAGTGCTCTCTGCATGACTGTCTCTCATTTCTTTGTATCTGTTTTCTTTCAAAGGTGTTGGTATTCTTTCCCTCCTGCTTATTCACTGTCTTCCCTTATCATTTCCTTCTTCCTGCATCCCTCATCATCATCATCTAGATTTCTCTTTGTTGAACACCTCTGCTTGGCATTTTGGGACACCCTTTCAAACATGTCCACAAAACCACAGTCCTCATCTATCCCCAAACCTTGTCTACAGTCCCACTTTGCATTCTACAAGATGGAAGTGGCAAGGCACTAGGCTGGTAAGGACTGCCATTTACTTTCTAAGACAAATTTGACATACTTGACAATCAAATCATTCACAGAGGTTATGTCATTAGGTCTCCAGAGATTTCCAGTGGTTGATTTAACAAAGAGACTACTTTAAGATAAGTTTAGGTTAGGGGGTCATCCCTTTCTACTTTTCTAAGAAAAGATAAATACAAACGTAACAACATATTTTCATGCTTTCTATAGCTCTTCTTTAATGTTTGTAGAGTGGCCTTTTGGGGTTAATTAGCACTGAGATACTTCACCCATGAACTGTTTTCTAATTCAATTTGTTTAATGCAAGAAACCATAAATAATTATAAATCAATTACCAAGTTTATTCTACACTTCACCAACCAAAAGAATCAAAACAAAGTGTTTTTGAAGGTGATTGAGCAAAATGAACAGCTTCCATAAGCCTAGGTATTTGTACTTCAATTTATCTTTTCCTTCACAAAAACACTAATCAAAATACATTTTGCTAACTATGGGAGCTACTCTTGCAAAAGAAATCAATTATGTTCTTAAGTTCAAATCTTTTTTTTTTTTTTTCCAGCTATGCTCTAATGTATCACTGTACCTTAGAAATGTACCCTGGGGAAAATGCTTTTGTTCTTCACTAAAATTCCATGAATAACATTATGTAGGAGTTAATTTATGATAAACGATTTAAAATCTTAACCTAGAATGACTTCTTATTCAAATGCCATCACAAAATGGTACCTCACCCGCAGAAAGGAGTCAAGGGATCCATTCTCCATGTATTCAACTACAATCATTACTGGTCTGCCTGCAAAACAGCAAAGAAACACATTAGGATTACAGACATATTATGGGGTTTTTATATTTCCAGCTGTTTGGCACAGATTAGTCACATTATTTAAATATGTTGCCCATTTTCAAAATCCTCATTTATTTGTGTTATTCTCTAAGGATTATTTTCTTTCCTTTTTTTTTTTTTTTTTTTTTTGGCTAACAATAGTGAATTAGCAGACTGTGCATCATTTGCTCTGGTGTATTCATACATTAAAGAGAATGAAAAAAGTGACTATTACTTCCAAACAAGAGTTATTGTACCTCTAGCTAAGAACAGCTCTATCTAACTTAAATATACTTTGGGTATACATGTATCTTTCAACAATACTTTAGAATACATTTGAGGCAAGGAAAAAGAAGCATAAGCAATCTCCAAGAAATTGCATGGTCAGTGCCATGATTTTCCCTCTCAAAGAAAAATATCGTAACAATTCAGGGGCATACAGATAGACTCAAAAATAGAGTTAATGCACAAAAACCCTCCTAGATTTGGTGTGCATATGTGCACATATGAGTGCATGTTTCCTTAATCCAGCAGAATTCTGAGTTCATATGTTTTTTTATGTTTATTTGTGTGTATACATTAAGTTACCCAAGTAAAAGTTCTGCCTAACCAGAATAGCTTTCCTTTTTGGTTCCAGGACAGCATCGTATCCACATTCAGCCTTCTTTAAAACTGAATTACAAGCTATTTTAATTTCTTAAGAAAACACCCAAATATAAAGACAAACTTTTAACCTTGACACTTTACTAAATACTGTTTCATTGTTTATATCTAAGACTAAGCCACCACTCTGGAACTGTCTAACAGGAGAGGCTCAACAGGCACGCTAACCAGGCTGCACCGTGAGGTCTCTTTTAGAACTGTTAGTATTGTACATGAGCCATTCTACTCTATGCAGTGTATGCTAATAAGATAGCAAAGGAAGTAGAAAGTCTCCAATTGGCAAACTTTTCTTTTCCTGACAATGCCTGTCCCTTTTGGGATTTATGTGAAATCAGTGCTGCTTCAAGTGGTGAAGACACAAGTACTCCCTTTCCACGTTCTGTAAATATTAGCTGTTCCAGTGTTTTTCAAATCCAAAAGAAAACTCTTTTAGGACTTTTCCCTCATCTTTGAAATTAGCATTATGTTTTATTTGGACACTGTGATGACAAATAAACACAATATTCAAGGTGAGAAATTACAGAATAGCATTATGAAGATTCCAGCACAATTTTCCATTTCTGTACATGCCAGCATTCTCTTCACTTTGATTAATAATGGAGGTGTTAATTAAACTGTCTACAATACACAATAAGCCACAGCTAGTTATCTTTCCTATGTTGTTACAGTTCACCTTGTATTTAAAAAACTGAATAAGCAGTTTCTCTGTTCACAGAATCACAGAACTCTAGGAGCTGGAAGGGACTTCTGGAGATCATCCAGTCCAACCCACTGCTAAAGCAGTTCCCTAGTGGCTCCCTTCCCTGAGTGTCAACACTGAATTCCACATGTACTGGTGATGCTTGCTGATGTGGCTTATTTTTGTCTTTCTGGAGTCTCTCACAATATCTTTTTCTTCAAATTTCTTCAAATAAGATATGGTGTTCTTGTAGTATTCACTCACATGTTTAAGTTCTCAATGAATAAAACAGTGCTTAATAATGTTCAGACAGCAGACATATTTGAGTATGTGCAAAAATTTTCAGCTACATACTTGATTTTTATCAATAGCCTTTCTGAAATGGAAGAATCACCAAATTATCATCTTTTTCTTAATTATTATTTTTAAATGATCTCACCTGCAAGTATGAATCTATTACCTATTCAGTTTATTTCTTTTCATTGGCATCTGTTGATTAAACTCTCGTTTTGCGCTTCTAGAGTTCAGAGAATTTTAAAAATTAATGCTTTCTTTGCTTATGCTGACTAGTAGTATAGCCTGCTCTTTTTAGTTTCTGAATGTTTTACAAATCTAATAACATCAACTGTCAGAAAATGTAAGGTAAGACACAAACTGTTTTCGAAGGGTTGGAAAAACAGGTTCAGAAAATCAAGTGGCCATCTCCATCCATAAAGCACAGTTCCCTCTGTCAGGCTGCATTTGGTTACCAACACACAGTGCTGTACTTTTGTTCCATGGTCAATACCTTGTAGAGGCACTTCAGTGATTCCACTGTGAACGTGTGTGAACAGGCTCTCCCATTCACAGATAAAGGAAGGAGAGTAGCAGTCGGCTCTGGAGAAAGTGGCTGAGATGTTGGGATGTGAGTCTCTGGTAAATGCAAGGAGAGAATCTAACATTGGACATCTCTATGCAGACAGAGCCACTGGTCCCAAAGGCAGGCAGTGAACAGATGGCACCATACTCTGCGAAAATCAGAGATCCTGATATGAATACCCACTGAAATCCATCAGTACCAGATCTGGGAAGCAAACTGAAAGCACAGCTCTACTTCTGATGACCTAAACATGATAAAGCATGATCTGGGATGCCTAATCTTTAGAAGGTCAGAGGGTGGTGACCAGCACAGGACTACCATAAAATAAAATCCCTGGTTAGTTGCTGTTAGTTTCATATTTTAGCAGCAAAGAGCAGATGTTATCCTTTATATACTTTGGTATAATCTGAGTTCTGAAAAGATTAAGGTCTGTGCTGAATCTTGTACAACATGGAATACTGCTTTTGGTTTAAAGTGTACCACAAAAATGACTTTGAAAAATAATACCAGCAAACTAGCTGGCAAAAAAAAAAAAACTAACAAAAAGAAGAACAAGAAGATGACATAAATATTACTTAGATTATGAAAATCCATGTTGTTTTCATGATACTAAGAAAGATTAATTTTTCATCCTCAGAACAAGGACTGAAATCAATGTTGATAGCATAGGGTAGAGAAGTCTCTGAGAAAAGATATCTGAGTATTTTATCATGGGGTTATGCAATTCTGGAAGGCACTGAATTATTTTCCTATTTTTATGATTGCTTACACAGATGAAACATGGACAACCTTACTTGAAGGAACAGATTTAAAGATGAACAGAAATGGAAGGCTGTGGGGGAAGATGTAACTGTGAGCAAGTCAGCAAAGAGTTTTCAGACTCCTTGATAGCCCCTATCAGTGTGAAACCTTGGGAGTCTGGAGTGTAAGACAGAGAGCAAATGGTATCTGTTTGTGTCTAAGGGTAAACAGGAGGTTCTTTTTGTACGTACTGTTAATCTTATCACACTTAAGAAACCTTTCATCCTTTATCACTGTGTTTTGGGAGAAGCTAGACCAATCAACTGATTAGAGGGACAGGAATTCCTGGCTTGTAAGTGAATGGTATATAAGATGAGGGACAGGAATTCCTGGCTTGTAAGTGAATGGTATATAAGATGTATGTTGAACACAATAAAGAGAACAATTCTGAGGACTACAATGATGCTACAAAAAACTGTGAGAGCTTTCTAACTCGACTCAGTGACGACAGAAGGCAATACAAGATGGGAGTTGGGGAAGTTCTCTAGTTTAAAGACTTGACTAACTCAGGTGAGTGTTTTCATATAGAAACAGGCACTAAACAGTACATGAATAAGAACCACTCATTTTACAGTCAAGATCCATATAAGAGAGGGCATGGAATAAGGACACTGAAAATGGTGTCAGGTTTTTTTCAGGATAAAAGTTGAACACCTGAGAGTTAAAAGCTGCAGGTACTGCCAGAAGAGAGCGCTCAACTTCATGGCAGAGTTGGGGGGACAAAATACAAAATGGTTTGAAAGTGGATTCAAGGTTCTAGTCAGCAAAACAAGACATTCTTGCACCAATTTCAGACATCCGGAAGTGCTCGAGTGGGGAGTACTGTAAGAAAACATTCTTAAAGTATGCACACTACATACTAAATACACCAATATGAAACTACAATCCTATTTATATATGGCATATTGACCCACTTTGACTGTTTCTGTAATTCCTGCACAGCTCTTAACTATTTCTACCTTACCCTTCCACCTGCCTCGGGTACTGAAGAAAGTAGCATTCTCTGCTTGTACAACATAAAAGGAACAGCAATGGCAGACCTGTCAGACTTCCTCCATCTAGGGAAACTGGACTGAACACATGAAAGCAGTATCAGTGCTTTATGTGATCCAGAAAAAGGAACAAGGATTCCATTACTCAAAACTTAGATGAATCTGCAGGAGGTTCTGGGGTTATTTGTGGTTTTTGATGCAAACATCACCTGGTGACAGGTGGCTGACTGGTTTTGACAAAGTATTCATTTTTCCCTGAGAAAGTTTGTCATTAGAATTCTCCCACACGGCTGTACTGTAATGTCAATGAAACAAAACCAGCATAAATTACAAACATCCCATCTTAGTGTCATGCCACCTCAGAATTCATGTTACAGTTTTGTGTTTTTCACTGATCAATCTGCTTGACATTTTTTTCATAAGCAAAGGAAAAAAGGAAGCCGTGTGATGCAGAATGATGTGAAATAGCAAGCACATTTAAAATTCACAGTATATATGTTTTAGTTCTCTTTTTTTTCCATAGGATTTTGATAGCATGTAATCAAATTGAATGGTAGAGTGACGCGTAAGGAGGAGAATTTGAAGTGTCATATCAATGCCAAAATATTCAGCTTGTTGTCTCCTGTTGTCATTTTAAATAACGCAGCAAGGCCCACTTTAATTAATGTTTTATGTAAGATTAATCCACAAAAAAGAATGCATTTAGTATATGCTCATTTCTACAGTCTTTACTTTTAACTAAATCTTTTATTCCCATTATGGAAATAGAACTTTTAACATAAATAGAAATATAGAATCATTCATGGAATCATAGAATGGCCTGGGTTGAAAAGGACCACAACGATCATCTAGTTTCAACCCCCCTGCTATGTGCACAGTCACCAACTACTAGAACAGGCTGCCCAGAGCCAAATCCAGCCTGGCCTTGAATGCCTCCATAAACGGGATATTTGTTCTTCCACTCACAAAGCAAAAT